ATTACTAACTTAGATGTTTACCAAGTCAATATTTGTGAACATTTTCTCACGATTTTAGTTGAAAATATGAAATAAAATGAATAAATTCATTTTCAGTACATTTATTAAGAAAATGTCAAAAAGTGATAATTTAAACTTGGAATATCATTTTAAAACGACTAAATTTTCACATAATGCATGAAACGTGGTAATAAAATTTGCTTCCATGGTTCCTATCGAGAGATAAATAATAGTTTAGAAATATAATTTTTCATTTCAAAATATTATTAATTACCGATAATGGACAACTGGTTCTGTAATTCCATTCCATTACAAAAATTGCCGCCATAATTGTCCAATTTATCAAGACAAATTTAATCGATACCAAATTTTTGACTAAACCATATTTTTCCAATAATAATACAATTACTAAACAAAAGTAAATGGTTTAGATATTAAAATCATTTTTCATAAAGTTATGCTTACTACTTGAAATGCCAAACAAAATAAACATTAGTGGAAAGAAAAACCGAAAATAAAAAATGACAATATATTCATGCATCAATGCTGAGGTCAAAATGACAGCAAAATTGGTTAATATACGATTTTTAAAACGATTATCAACAGGTATAAATACATAAACATATAACCAGTTTTGTACAACATGATTCCATTTTCGATAATATACTTTTGCTGATTTACTGTTCCAAAAATCTTCATAAAAATTGCGATCACCAAAACGTAACAATTCAGCAGTCAAATTAAGATAAAGATGAAAAAAAACGTAGAAAAATGTCCAATAAAAAATCATTCCAGCGATCATTATTTCATATAATAGTTTAAAATTAAGCTCTATACTTTCAGTACAAGTTTTCGTTAAATTGACAGTAAAACCTTGATAAAAGGAATACATTGTCAATAGAATGAATAAAATGAATTGAAAACCGAAATTCAAAACACGACCCCATCGGATTTTTTTCGTTCTTGGATAAGAATCACAATATATCAAAGTCGGTGCAAACATATAGTAAATATATTTTCGAAAACTGGCACGTGAAGGAAGTGCCCAGAATGATCTACAGATATTTGTATGTTGTTCATTGATCATAAAATTTTTGAATGTTTCTTTTTCAATGAAAAGATCTTTTTTCTCGATGAAAAAAGAATGTGATTTCATCAAAAGTCTTGTCTTTTAAGATAAAATAAAAATAATAATAATTTTTAAAAAATTAAGTCAAATAAATTCAATTATTACAAAACTCACCATTTCTATCAACAAGATGAATGATCCGACTAATTTGATATCATAAACTAATATACAATAAGTACAATAGAATAGAATTGCAAAAATGGAAATGCACAAATACATTGTGTATAAAATTATTTGATATAAACATCCCGCATATTGTCGATTTTCATGCATTTCATACAGAATATCTAAATTATAATTGTTATTCTTATAATTATTGATCAACCATCGATATTGAAAAAAATTGTTGAACAAAACTAANATGACTTGACCCAAATCACTGGAATTCCGAATGTATCCATCAAAAATTTCCCAGAATTTAGTCGGTTCATTAATGAAAACTTCAATTTTACACAGCAAAAATACAAATATAAATAAAGCTATCAGATCATGTATCATGCGTAGATTCGGATCAGTAGCAAACAATTGTCTAAGTTCAAAATAAATGTTTACTGATTAAAAGAATAATATGAAAACATTTCAATTCTTACGTCAAAAGAGATTCGCGATGTTTAAATGAGATAAATTTTTTTGAATTAGGTTCTGTGTCATCATTATCATTGTTATGTTCCATGATAATTGACTCAAATAAATGGTTTCCGCAATAATATTATTGCATATGATATTAGCAAATTAAAATTTTGTTAATATTTGATGGACAAAATTGTCTTCGATTAATAGAATTAAATATTAATCTGAATTTGAAATAAATTTCTGAAGAAAAATCTTATTTACAAATCAAGTGCGATTTTTTCCTACAATATCTAGCGAAAATATCTTATCAAAACTATCATTAAAAATTTTGCTGCCAAAATGAAAATAATGTAATCGTATGATTTTTTTTGTATTTGCACTTATCTTCAGTTTGGTTGCTTTTTGGATGTTAACGATTATAAAAAATGATAATGATATTGATTGAAAATCAAAGTTTTTCTACCACAAAAAAATTACTTCAAACACACATATGATAATGATGTAAAACAATATTTTAATGAAAGAATTATTGATTTACTATCACTAAACACAAACATTAGAATAAGTATGAGATTATGAAGGTAGAGGAAAAAAATATCTGAAGAAATCATAAATTAACACATTGACAACATACATGTTAATATTATTAACATTTAACATTATTATTATAATCATCAATATTATCAACAAACATCAAAAAAGGAAAAGAT